GAAAGTAGGTCGACTGGCGTGCTCCAAACTCGTTAAACATTAACTGCCGCTGGCGGTTATCTGGCGGTCGAAGCGGTCGTCTGCCAGCGGCAGTTAATGTTTAACGAGTTTGGAGCACGCCAGTCGACCTACTTTCGAGCCACGCTCGTGCACTTTTTGGCAAAAATGAAAATGGCCATCTAGATTCATTCGATTTTGTTAAATTTACTTATACCTACCTACCTATAATCATACTTACGTGTAATATTGTGTTTTAGATTCTTCGTTACAGTAATTTGACTGGAATATTTTATTGCTTTTATTTGCACGATAATCGAAAACCAAAATGGCGATCATTTAGGCGTAGCGCCATGCATCTCTTGCCCAGATTTCAGACTCGGATCTGAAGCATTTATTTTCGCATCAAAACTAACCCTGAAATAAAACAGTGAAATTTCTATTAGTATAAAACACGGAATAAGGACATTTGATCACATTTTGGTCCGTCATAAATGAAACACTTACCAAATTTTAAATATCAGCTCCCTCTTCTATCACACCCAAGGTACGTGAGCTATAGTGTCATTGACACTTTCATTTTGTGGTGTGTTTGCGCATTTCGAGGCCTAGCAAAGCAAGCAGCACAGGTGCCCGTGTCAATGCATGGGAAACACTGATTATCATATAATTTAATGTACCTAACTCTAAGCTACGGATACATGTTCAACGTATACTTGGGTGCATGTTCTAAAGTGTACATGCAGTGTCTTTCCTGTTTCCAGTGTACAAAATTTTTAATTAACTGACCCTGTTGTCTGCCCATATATCGATGAATATATAATAATATATGCACATGCATGTCCTATTAATTAATGAAAATCTAAAAATTCCACCATTTACATATATGAATTTTTTTTCGTATATCGTCAGTCCACTGTCATGGCCGTGTCTAATAATTGAACATGAATCTGTGTGATTTATTGAGAAGTGTCATAATATAGATAATAGCAGGGTGCAAAATTAACGTGAGTCCAGAATCAAATACTTCCTGATTTACTGTCGGACTCCCTGATTTGACATATGCAGGAGTCCGTGTGACTCCCTGAAAATTCTGCCATACTAACTAGTTCGTTCCAGAGCACGGCCTCACGGAATTACCGTATTTTTTCAGCTAATCTCCAAATAAATTTGGGCAGACGTGCAACCGTATGAATCTTCAAAATAAGCACATGCGTTATTGTTAATATTTTTAATTTTGAACCTCAAACTCCGGACTCCCTCTTTTTGAGGGTATGGAGTCCGTTGCACTCCCGTGTTCAAACGTTAATTTCTACCCCTGTAATAGTCTATATTATGAAACTCCTGACATATTGACAGTACGGTATGGAATACCGTGTTCAATAATTAAATAATGGATCTTAAAATTATATCCTGCAGTTCAATGTGGAAGCTCGTGTCCGATAATTAAACCATGGATTGTTGCACTTTGTAATTGCAGTAAAATGTGGAAGGTTGTGTCGAGCGTTTCACGCTCGCAGCTCGGCTCGCTGCTGGGTGAGTCCAGGCAGTGCGCGTTGGCCCCCGTGCTCACGCGAGGCTGTGCCAACATGGATCTAGGGGAAGATGAGGAACCAACGTTCTTCAAGATGGTGGACAGGTACGTCAGGCGCACCAGCAAAGTGGTGGTGCACATGTAGTAACTGTAGCATTGTGGGAGCGATGCTTTTGGCAACAGACGTGTGTAACACTTATTGATAGTAAGGACACAGTCAACTGTACACAGGTAGTGCCATGCACCCCCCCCCCCCGCTCATCCCACATGCCATACAATATCATACCACATCATGCCATCCCATAGACCCTGGTCGGTGCGGTGCGGGTAGTTATCACATCAGTCCACATAAGCATTCATGCAGCCCTGGTCGGGCGTGGGGGGAGTATACACATCAGTCCCATAGCAATTTCATGCAGCCGGCTGGTTCAGGGCGTGTGGGATGTATCAATCGTCCCAATAGCATTTCATGGCAGCCACCTGGTCGTTGCGTGCGGGGGGAGTAATCACATCGTCCATAGCATGTCAGCAGCCTGGTGGGCGGTGCGGGGGAGTATCACATCGTCCCATAGCATGTCATGCAGCCCTGGTTGGGTGTGCGGGGGAGTATCACATCGTCCCATAGCATGTCATGCAGCCCTGGTTGGGTGTGCGGGGGAGTATCACATCGTCCCATAGCATGTCATGGCAGGCCCTGGTCGGCGATGCGCGGGGAGTATTCACAGTCGTCCCATACATGTATCAGCAACTGGTCGGGTCGTCGGGGGAGTAATCACATCGTCCTATAGCCATGTCATGCAGCCGCTGCGTCGGGCGTGCGGGGGAGTATCACATCGTCCCATAGCATGTCATGCAGCCCTGGTCGGGCGTGCGGGGGAGTATCACATCGTCCCATAGCATGTCATGCAGCCCTGGTCGGGCGTGCGGGGGAGTATCACATCGTGCCATAGCATGCCATACCAGATTATGCCATATCATGTCATGCAATATCAGTAACCATAAGTCATGCGCATATCACAGCCGCTGGGCCGCGGGCGTGCGGTGGAGCATGACATCAGCGTCGTCATCGAGGGGGGGGGGGGGGTGGGGGGGGGGGGGGGGGGGGGGGGGAGGGGGGGGGGGGGGGTAGGGGGGGGGGGGGGGGGGGGGGGGGGGGGGGGGGAGGGGGGGGGGGGGGGGGGGGAGGGGGGGGGGGGGCGTGGGGGGGGGGGGGGTAGCGCGGGGGGGGGGGGGGGGGGGGGGGGGGGGGGGGGGGGTGTCGCAGGTTCTACGACAAGGCGGTCGGACCGCTGGAGACGAACGCTCCGTCGGCTGAGTATGCGGACCGAATCGACAGACCGAGAAATCGCAAGCACGTGATCGGCATCGCTGAAGACGATTAAGCCCGCGCATCACACCATCGTCCATCGTCAGTTCCCAGATCAACGCGGGCGATACACGTGCGAGATCGAGTATGCATGACGGATGGAAGGCGCAGCACAGCCACATCTTCACCGCCGTGCAAGGGAGGTCGTATATGACGCGAGAGAAATAAATGCGCTGCGACACAGTACGTGGCGCACATGCACGTGCGTTTTTCCGCGTACGATTGTGTCTGGAATCGCCATGTTTGTACGCAAGTACCCGCCACATCTACACAGCACAGGACGGAATCCTTGTACCTATCTACAATACACTTAATTGCCCCA